GAAGGACGTTACTGCTGCTGGCCAGGGCCCTTGACTCTGTTCCCTGGGGTGTTTTGGCTCTGGGATCGGGTGGACACCAGGTGTCCAGAGCATTTCCTCTGGGATAGGATCAGCTTGGAAGAGCTGCCAAAGAATTTGGGAAAGGAATTCTGGGTGAAACACAATTCCTGGTGGCCGTGGTGGTGGTGACATGGTTGCTCTTGTGTCATCCCATCCCCTGGGATGCTCTTGGCCAATCCCACATCCCAAGGCAGCTCCCAGGTACTTCAGCTTGGAGGGTGCCTCAGTCCCAGCCTTAATTACCATCCTGGGCTTAATTAGTGTCATTACCCTGGGAGCCAAGCCCAGCCCAAGGGCTTGTTTAGATTTGAACTGGTTTAGGTTTTAACTGGTTTATTGTTAGATTTGAACTGGTTTATTGCTCTGGGGAGGGAAGGGCCGGGCCCAGGGACATCCCAGGGTGTTGAGGTGTCTCCCATTCCAACATCTCTGTCTATCCATAGGGAAATCTCACCTGGCCATTGTGCAGAAGGTGAACAACGAGGGGGAGGGGGATCCCTTCTACGAGGTGCTGGGGCTGGTGACCCTGGAGGATGTGATCGAGGAGATCATCAAGTCCGAGATCCTGGATGAGTCTGACACCTACAGTAGGTATTGGGGCTCCCCCCGTTCCCATCATCCTGTCCTTCCATGGGGAGATCCTGTCCCCCCATGGGCTGCTCCTGTTCCCCCATGGGCTGTTCCCACCCACCCTGGACCGATCCTCCCTCCACCCCGTGCCAGGGGTCCTGCCATCCCCCCCAGAGCTGACTCCTGCCCCCCACAGTCGACAACCGCAGCCGGAAGCGCGTGACCAACCAGAAGAACAGGAGGGACTTCTCGGCCTTCAAGGACCCCGTCAGCGAGCAAAAGGTCAAGGTATCCCCTCAGCTCCTCTTGGCTGCCCACAGGTTCCTCCTGACTGGTGAGTTTTGGGAAGGGGGAGCTCCCTGTGGCTCAGGGAAACCCAGGATGGGCTCGGTGTGTCCCCGTGTCCCCCATGCCAGCTCCGGCCCTGGAGACTCCAAGGAGTTGCTCCAACCATCTCATCGAGAAATGATGGGTCTTGTCCTGCTTTCCTTTGCTCTGTTTCCCCCCCCCCGCCCCAAAATGGGAAGGGATGAGGTTTGGGAATGCCAGACCTGCCTCTGACAAGGCCCTGTCCCTCTGGGATGATCTGGGTGGGGACCTCTGGGATGATCCTGTTCCCAAGGCTGGGGATGGCTTTGCTGGGGACCTCCAGGATGATCCTATTCCCAAGGCTGGGGACCTCTGGGGGGGGCACCTCCAGGATGATCCCGTTCCCAAGGGAATGCCCTTGCTGGGGACCTGGAGCTGGATCCGTGGGTTCTCCCGGAGGGAGCTGTTGATGGAGCCCATCCCATCCCAGGCACCATCCCAAGGGATGGGGAGGTTGCACCTGCCCCTGGAAGGACAAAAACCAAGTGTGACCCCTTTTACCTCTCCCAGAGGTGCCACTTTTCAGCCCTACCCTCATGTCGGAGAAGATCCTGCTGCGGCTCCTTGGATATTCTGACGTCATCCAGGAGCTTAAGTTCAATGAGGAGGACAAGAAATCCCCCCAGCACTACCTCTACTGCAAGAACAAGCCTGCTGACTACTTCATCCTCATCCTGCAGGTTTGGAGGGTTCCTGGGGGCCTCCATTCCCCTGGGAATGCTGTGGGGAGGGGAGGGGTCTCATTCCTTAAGGATGTGGATTATGGAATGTCTCCCCCTGACAGGGGAAGGTGGAGGTGGAGGCTGGCAAGGAGTGCATGAAGTTTGAGGCGGGACCGTTTACCTACTACGGGGTGATGGCCCTCAGCCCCCCTCCTGGATCTGGTAAGAAGCCCCTGATCCCTCAGGATGCTCCCTGGAATAGGGCTGCAGGTGGGAGATGCCGGAGGCTCTGAGCCCCGTTGGTGCCCCTTTGGTTGGGCAGCGTGTCCTCAGGGACACCTGGGCTGAATCCCACTGCCCCAGCTTTGGGGTCCTTGAGCAGCCACACAGGGAGCCTCATGGATGAGATGGCTCCTGCACTGCCTTGGGATGTCCTAGGATGGGTGTCCTGACCCCTTGTGACTGGGCTGAGCTCCCAGCCCACTCCCCAGCACTCCATACTCTCCTCCCAGTTCCGGGGGCTCGGAGGTCTCACCCCACCCCTCTGATCCCCCAGAATTCCGGTCCCCATCCCGTGGAAGCGGCCTGGCCCGCTCGGCCTCCCTGAGCAACCACGAGCGCTCCGAGTCCATCTCGTCGACCGTAAGTGGCAGCACCAACCAGCTCAGCGGGACTGGGAACCAGTACGTGGCTGATTTCAGCCTCCGGGCACTGACCGACCTCCAGTTTGTCAAGGTGGGCACAGAATGGTGGGATGGGAACAGGGAAACAGTGAGGACAGGAACAGGGAAACAGTGGGAAAGGGGACAGAGAAATACTGGGAAGGAGGACAGGGAAACACCAGGAATGGGGACAAGGAAACACCAGGGACAGGGAAACACCAGGAATCCCTCCATCATCCCTGTTTTTCCTTGGCCCAGATCACACGCCAGGAGTACCTGAACGGCCTCACGGCCTCCCGCATGGACAGTTGTCCCCAGTCTCCTGACAGCAACAACTCCCCCAGACCGGGCCCCGACAATCCGGAGAGACCAGAGCCTTCGGCCCCCGCAGATGAGACCACGAGCCTCCTGAACGACAGGAACTGCCAGGGCCGCCGGAGCAACCACAGTTCCATGGAGAACAACAACGTCTGACCCCGGCCAGCGCCGGCGCACTCCGGAGGGCCCGGGGCGTGCCCGGTGCAGGGACCCCCATCCCGGCAGGAATTGGCTGCCACTGGAATATGAGCCAGGAGAAGTGACAACAGCACAGTGAAGAATGGAGGAGCTGGAATTTGCTGCTGTTTCCAGGCTGGCTCGTTTTTTTGGGATTGATTGGAGCAGCGGCGGAGGCGGCACCAAAGGCACCGCCAGCACCGCCCACACAGCTCAGGGACATTGGGGTCTTGTTTGCCACAGTAGGACCCTGGGGATGGAAGTTCCTGCCCTTTGGGATCCTCGGAATGGACATCCTGGCCCTTCAAGACCCTTGGGATGGATGGGCTGGTCCTTTGGGATCCTCGGGATGGATGTCCTGGCCCTTTCAGATCCACAGGATGGGTGTCCTGACCCTTTGGGACCCCCAGGATGGACATCCCACTCCCTCAGGGCTCTTGTGCTACATTGGGACCCATGGGACGGATGTTCCCTTTCCTACACCAGCCTGGGATGGGAGTCCTGGGCCCTCGGCTCTCCTACACCACGTTGGGACCCTGGGATGGGCATCCCGGCTCTTTGGGATCCCCTGGGATGGGAATCCCGACCCCTCAGGATTCCTACACCAGCCTGGGATGGGGGTCTCAATCCTACACCATTTTGGGGGGGTCCCAGGATGGAAATCTCAGCCCCTTGGGGTCTCCTACACCACTGTGGTACTCCCAGGATGGGCATCCCAGATCCCTGAGGACTTCTACACTCTCCTGGGATGGGGGTCCCGAGCCCTTGGGATTCCTACACCACATTGGGACCCCCGAGATGGGGGTCCCAGCCCCTCAGGCCCCCCCAGGATGGGGGTCCCTGCCCCTCTGGGGTGTTTTTGGTGTCAGGGACCCCCTGGTTGTGCTGCAGCCCCTCCCCATTCCCAACCCCCTTTCCTGCTGGCCGGGGACATGGGGATGGGCTTGGAGCCCCCGGGACACCCTCACCACAAGCAGTCCGGGGTCCCCCTGGGGGGGGGTTTCGGTGCCTTCCCCCCCACCATAGGGGGTCTCAGGGTCTTGGGGAAGGAGGTCAGGGATCGGTACGGGGGCGGGGGGGGGAGGCGCACCAGGATCCCAATTTTGGGGGTTTTTTGGGGTGACACAGCGCTAGTGACCAAAGTTGTACAGGCAGGAGGGGGTCATGTGTTCCCCCCGGCACCAGGGGACCCCCAAAGCCATCGGGACCCCCCCTCCCTCTGGGTTTATTCCCAGTTTTGGGAAAGGGGGAGACCCCCCCTAAGAAAAGCACAAGTTCCCTGCTTTGAACTCTGTAAGTTATTGGGAGAAGGTTAATTAATTATTTTTGTTAATCATGTCTTGACGATCAGTTCCTAGAGGTCCTTCTGTGGGGACATTTTTAGAGAGAATAATAATAATTAATAATAATAATGATAATTAATAATAATAAGCCAGGACAAAAAAAAGGCCCTTTTTTTTATTAAATCTTCCTCTATGCAAACCCCTAACCCCTCCCCTGGGAATTCCTATTTATTGTTCAGGTTTGATTTGTATGTTTGGGGAGGGTAGGGCCCAGAGGGGGGAGGAGGGAGAGGGCAGGGTCTACCCCTCCCCAATCCCCCCCCCCCCTTCCTGGTTGTGAAACAACCGTGGGATTTTATCTCCTGGGGTTTTTTTGAGGGATTTTTTGCCAGATGGATAATAAAAGTCTATATCTGTATGTGGGTCTCTGCCGTGGTTCACGGGGGGTGAGGGGCCTGGTGATGGTGGGGGGGAGCCCGGGGACACCACCCCAGCCCTGGAAGTGTCCAAGGCCAGGTTGGACAGGGCTTGGAGCAACCTGATCTAGTGGAAGGCGTCCCTACCTGTGGCAGGGGGTGGGACTGGGTGGGCTTTAAGGTCTCTTCTAACACAAACCATTTGAGGATTCCATGAAGTCCCACCTAGACACCCACAAAGGTGGAGACTCATCTCTGAGGTCAGGGAAGAAAAGGTGCTGTTGGAGATCCCGGATAAGCGGGATCAGTGCCCAACCACTGAAGGACAAGGTTCCATCCATGGCCCTCCTGCCTCTGCCTCCCCCCACAGTGGGATCTGGATCCCCCCAGAATCCCCTGAGCAGCTGCTGTTCCCTCCCAACCACCCCAGAGGGAAGCACAGGAGCCCTCCCACCTCCCGCGGAATTTACTGCTTCAACAAACTGTTTTCCACGTTTTTAGTGGGTTTTTTAGGAAACAAAGTCCCTGGAAGGTGGGAGGGGGGTCTGCACCTCCCTCCTGGTGTGAACCCTCCTCACCCTGGCCCCTGGTACAGGTGACAAGGGGACAGAGTCGGTGCCACAGGCTGTGTTTGTCCATCGGAGACGCCTCTGGAGGTCCCACTGGGGTGGCTCTGGGTGTCCCGTGTCCCCTCAGGTGTCCAGCAGGTCCCGCACATCTGGGTGGGCCCCATCCCGCGGGAGGCGGCCCCTGGAATCCTGGAGTGTGGCCAGAGCCGGGCAGAGCCGCAGGAGGAGTGCACAGAGCTCACGGTGCCCCTGCTCGGCTGCCTGGGAGGGCACTCGTGTGACCCCCAGAGGGACAGAGCGACACACCCCCCAGGCTCCCCACCCACCTTGGGCGAGAAAGGGGACTCCCCGTGCCCCCCACTCACCTTGGGTGAGAAGTGCCAAGGACAGAAGGCTCCCCCCCGTGCCCCCTCACCTTGTGTAGAGGGGTCCGCCCGTCGCCGTCGGTGGCCGCGGGGTCGGCCCCGTGCTGGAGCAGGAGGCGGCTCACGGCGAGGTGGCCGCAGTAGCAGGCGCGGTGCAGGGGGGTGGCCCCACCGGGGGTCCGGGCGTCGCAGGGAGCCCCCCGCTCCAGCAGCACCCGGCACACCCCCAGGTGCCCGTTACGGCTGGCGTAGTGCTTGAGGGGTGGAGGGGGGAAGAGAGTGGGCAGGGGGCCGGGACCCCCGGGACCCCCATACCGGGGCCGCGTACCCACCAGGTTGAGCCCCCCGTGCCCACCGTAGCAGGGCCGTGTGCCCCCTCAGGACCCCCAGACCCCCGTACCAGTGCCGTGTACCCCGCCCGGTCGGGCTCTCCGGGGTCCCCGCGCCGCTCCAGCAGCCGCAGTACCCGCGGCTCGTCCCCGTCCCGCGCGGCCGCCCAGATCCCTGCAGGCAGCGGGGCCGGGTCAGGCCGGGACCGACCTCCGGGGCTGCCCTGGGACCCCCGGTACCGGGTACCCCTGCCCAGAGCCCCCCCGTACCCTCCCGGTACCGGCACCTCCGCGCACCCCGCCGGTACCCCCAGAGCCCACCGGACCCCGCTCGAAGTCCATCTCGGCCAGGCTCTGGTGTACGCTGGGCACGGCCACCGGCCCCGAGCAGCAAGGATCGGGCATCGCCCCCTGCCCGGGGCAGCACGGACCGAGCGGAGAGCGGCGACCCCCGGCCATGGCGCCGGGGGGACCGGAGAGACCGGGGGCGACTGGGACGGGGACGGAAATTGACGGAAAGGACCGAGGATTGACGGAAAAGACCGGAAAT